ATCTACATGTAATTCAAAAGCCTTAAACCTTTTCCTCTGGCAAATTTTCATGGCATCTGTTTAACAGAAAGTTATTTCAATTAGTAGTTTACCTCTTATTCTTCCTTATGCCTAGATTTTTTTTTTTAGTTGTAGTTGACATAATACCTTTATTTATTTACATGTGGTGCTGAGGATCGAACCTAGGGTGTTGCACATGTGAGGCGAGCACTCTACTGCTGAGCCACAACTCCAGCCCCAATGCCTAGATTTTTATATTGGCAACATCTAGTAATGAAACAGATAAATATCAGAAGTGAAAAAAAAATGTATTTTCCTGTTGAACAGTTTAAAAAAAACTTAGATGGAAAAACATGTCTCTTTCACCAACTAGCTCTGACAATTTTGAATATACCAGACAAAATATATGCTGAGTCATAAAGCTTTAATGAGGCATCCTTACATGAAGTGTGAAAAAAACTTTATTTTTGCATAAATATCATGATACTTTAATGCTTAAAGCGTCCCTTTAAAAATAAGTTAAAAATGTTTTCATATTATTCTTTTATTAACACAATTATTGATTAAAACATAATTCCACTTTAACACAAAGTAAAAATAATATCAGTGACTAACATATTCTTGATGAAAATGGCTTACAGTATTTTGTGAGAACATTTCTTTACATTTTTTACTTGATTCAATGGGAAATTTCATATTTTTCTTTAAAATCCACAAATGTCTTAATTCTCACCATTATAAAAACAAAAGATACAACCAAACCACCCCCAAATAAAATCCTTACAAAGCATATCAACTTTTAGTGACATAATATATATTAAGTCACTGAGTAAAGCTCTTTTTTATGAACACTTTTGGAAAGGCTGCATTCAGTTCTAATACAGCTCTGTTATCAATCTGTGAACAGAAGGATACATCAAGTAAGGAAAGATCTTTACAAGATTCCAGGAGTTTTCTTAAGGATGCTGGACTTACCATTCTTGTTCCTGTTTGAAAAAACAAAATCAAACAAAATAACTTAAATATAATATTATAAATGTCCTATTTTTAGTCGCTTTTTATTTAAAATATACTTAAAATAAATGTCCTTTTAAAAATTAAAAGCATTTTTAAAATAAAAGTCTTCATATTGAAATAGTTCTACTAAAAAAAACCAATAACAACAACAACAACAACAAAATCATTGAGTTTTCCTAGGCAATGTGGCATCCAGGATCTGAATATTGTCAGTCATCTACCTGCCATTTATATTTCTACTTCTGACCCCTTCTAATCAGTTCATCTAGACTTTCCTACTTCTATCACTCTAGTGTAAAATGTTTTTCACATCTCATTTTCCTTAACCCACAGGTCAAATTAGGCAGCAATGTCTATAATAATTCAACCTCTAATTCCATGCAATGTAATTACTGAGCAACTACTCTGTTAAGTATTGAGTATCCGTTTTAGGGACTGGAAATGCAAAGATGAATAAGACTCATGTCTGCCTCAGGAACTCACTGACCAGCATTGAAAACAAATACATATAACAAAATTTGATAAGTTTTACAGTGAATGGTAGGTGATGGGTGATGAGTTATTTTAGTCCATGTTAAAACTGAAGCAATCATGGGATATTTAGTTAGATGCTAAATTAATTATGTAAAGCATCTGATACATGGTAGGCACTTAATAAATACCAAATATCACTTGATTCTAAGAGATAATCTGTTGTAAAACATACCTTGCTTTAACTCTCTCTTTTCTGGGGAGAAACAATCACAATCATCATATATATACATCTAGTAGGAAGGGCATTAGGATTTCTGAAATGTTAACTTAAGCCTCGTTCTCTGGTAACTCTTTTCTATTCCCCTCCCTGTTGTGGGCTCCAGAGCTAAATTCTATTGTCACCATCTGTGACTGGTCCCAAGGTAAATCAATCCAGATTCCCCCTGGGAATTTAGAATTGGTATTGGGCAAAGCCTTCAATGTCCACAAATTACTATTTCTATAGACAGGTAACAGTGGGCTGCACCTGTTATATTTGGCCATGTACACCCAGAGAAGCATAGGTGACTATGAGGATCAGAAAAAACAAGGAAAGTCAAGGGAAAAGCACACATAAAAGTCTGTGAATACAAAGTTGCAGAGGGTGGGGTAGGAGACAGAACTAAAGCATACAGGACAGGAAAAGTTAGAAGGGAGGAAGGGAGGGAGAGGGAGGAGGAATGAATGAAGAAGAGAGATCTCATGGGATCTAAACGATAAAACTATATCTTTATAATAATTTTCTTTTCTTTATGCTTAAGTTATTCTAAGTGGGCTTCTGGTTTTCTGTTTTGTGATAACCTCAACCCTAGACACTTAGTTGTTCGTTTTCTTAAACTCAGGATTGTGATTGTTATTTGCTTGTCTTGCCCAATAGAACCTGAGTTTCCTGATGAACACCGAGTTCTGTAAAGCCTTAAAGAATTCTGTGAAGGAACTCAACTTTAAAATTTAAATTTTAAATATGCTTCCGAAGTAGCTTGTATTTTTGTTTTTGTTGGTTAATTCCCAATACCATCACTTTGGTTTGGACCCTCATTACATGGATTACTGCAACAAATTTCTCTGATTTTAATCTCTTCCTTTTCCAATCAACTTGCTATGCATTCCCAGGTAAAACGTGGCCATGAATATGTCATTCATTCTCCTAACTAAAAAAATCCCATAATAGCTATTCCTCACTTAATTTTGTGCAGATTTTTCATCCCAGTGTTCAAAATTCTCCATTAAAGCTTTCACTGTAATAACAAAATAGATATATACAATTAAATTCGATGATTTGTTCTCTAAAGGTAGTCTGAAAATCAACTGCTATATTTTGCTTCATGCTGTTCTTTGTGCTTACAATGTCATCCCTTCCCATTTCCTCATCACTTTTCAAGGATGTCTTTAAAATATCTACTAACCTTTTAAATAAAGGTTAATTATAATATAATAATAAACTTCCTTTATTCTGTAATCATATATGCTATCTTTTTCTGAGCCCCATTAAAATGGACTTGCCTCTGGCTTGTATTATGATTGTTTTTCTCCTTTTTACTAGCTATAATCTCTTTTTTTAAAGATGGACACAATATCTTTTTACTTTATTTATTTATTTTTATGTGGTGCTGAGGATTGAACCCAGTGCCTCACATGTGTGAGGCAAGCACTCTACCTTGAGCCACAGCCACAGCCCCTAGTTATAATCTCTTTAAAGGAAGGAATATACTACTCACTCAGCTTTGTACTGATGAGAAGCATTTTCACTGTGAAGCAGGTATGCCACTTAACACTTCTATCGAGCAATGACAAAATAATGACTATTGCCTTGATTGAACTGAGAATCCTTATTTTCAAAAAAGCCTTATAACACTTAAAAATGAAAGAAAATCAAACAACAACAGAAGTAAAGAAAATGCAACACAGTGGTTAGAACAGATTCTCCCAAAGAGAGTCATTATACTTATTTTTCTTTTACATCTCTATAAAACTATTCATACATTTGCAGTCAAATGTTCTACCACTGAGTTATACTCCCTCAACCACACAATTAACAGGCCAAATTTAGATCACCTGACAACCAACCCCACTGCTCATCACAATTGAGCATTGCTTAGAATCAGTGTTCCTGACACTTTCATAGTTCTGTAGTATCTACTCCAGACATTGGCTATTGCTCAAGTCAGTATATGATGGTTTTTTGCTTGTTTGTTTGTTTGTTTTTGAGGAAGGAGTTATAAAAAATAGATTTTAACCAGCAACAGCACTATCTTCTGAAGTGAAACTCATGTTCTTGTGAATTCACAGCTTTTTCTTGAACTTTTTGAAATATTTATCTTACAAAAGGCTTAGGACAATTCAATAGGAAAGATAGGTAGGATGGAAAAGAAATAACCATAGAGTAGTTATGGTGTGACCAAAAAAAAAAAGAAAAAAAAAGTACTGACTACGGAACCAAAGACATTAGATTTGAACCTTTTCTCTGCCATTTATTAACCACTGGGTGCCAGTACCCCCACCTATGAAAACAGAGCTGTGAAGATCAAATAAAATATCACACAGATGAAGTATTTAATCCGAAGTGTGCACCATGAGAGGCCTAAAAGTAGTTTGAATAAGTAATGTGCAACAACATAAGCAGCATCACAAATGTATCATAAACCTGAATGTAGAGAGATTTTAACTGAAACTACAAACATAGATGTTGAGAATCTTCAGGTTTTCCTTTTGTTGAATGTTTAATAAAGAGGAAGGGATACACATGTACTTTATGGACTAATCAATTGTAAATTAGTAGTAACAGACTGCCAGAAAACAGTTCAAGTGCTATGTGAGATCACAAATTACCAGTTGTGTGGGCAATGACAACTACAGTGGCACCACTAGCACCTTTGAATAAGATAAGAAGTAAGTAATGACATCTCAAAGGGCTCCTTGCTGGTGAATGCAATAAGGACACAAGGAATCCCAGAACTGGAAAGAATTTTCAAGAGATCTGCCTCAGGGTAGAACTATTTCTAAAAACTGAAATTAGCAGGGAGGGAGACATCATAACATTCCTCTATTAACAGTTGAACATTAAGAAACTTTAAAAGAAAATCTAACTTGAATTCATTTTAAAATGGATTCATTTCTTCTTTTCTCCTCAAGAAAAATGGAGAACACAGTTCACCTAAATTCTCTCTTCTAATTAGACCAAGAATTAATAGTTATTTAGAACTTGTGACATGTTCAACAATACAGTTGTAACTTACTTAAGTGTGTGTATACACACACACACACACACACACATATATATATATATATATATATATATATATATATATATAAAAAATTATTCCTTATTTCTTATATTTTCTATCAAACCAAGCAGTCTTCTTGGGAAAAATTTTGTTACGTTTCTTTGTGGTTTCCTTGAAAAAAATCTGATATTAGGTTTTATGTCAAGGAAACAGGCTTTCAAAAAAATTTATATATTGCATCCTTACCTAATATGTCCAGTTGCCGTAATCTGATACAATTACATGCAAGTTCTTCTATATCTGTGTCACACACAGATCTATTAGCTGTAAGAAATAGTTTTTGCAAGTTTGGGAGCTGGCGTGCCAATCTGGCGAAGCACCTGGTACTGCTCTGCAGAGTAGGACACCAGCCAAGATCAAGTTCCTCCAGAAGTGGACATCCAGAAGCCAATTCCGCTATTCCATTCTCAGTAATATTCTTACATCTCCATAGATCCAGGGTGCGGAGCTTTTTACACTTGGCTCCTATCATGCTAGCTATCACATCATAATCTTCAATCTGGAAATCAAACAATTCCAAGCTTTTATATGTTGTGCTCAGAAATGCAAACTGTTTAGAGCTTGTTAGAATATTGTTAATCATCTCTTATTGTTTGCTTCCATGTAAATATACCCACATCCTTGTTAATATAGATTTACCCATTCATCTTACAGATCTGCCATGATTTCACAAAACAGCAAGAGTAATCACTTACTTAAAACTCCACTTAACAGAACTGACAGAGGACATTTATGAATTAAATCTGAAAGCAATATCAAGTCTTCAATCTCTCATGGAGAATTGGAGGATTATGTGCTATTCTTTTATGCCTACCATTTTGACCTTGTTGCTGGTCACTAGGCCAAGTATCTTTTATTTTATATATATAAATATAGTTAGATAGGTATATAATATCTCTTTAATGAAGGTGGCACCTTGGCAGGTTCTAAAACTGTGTGGAAATTCTAATAGTACTCATTAGGATAGCAGCTCTGGGTTAAGTGAGGCTTTTACAGACTGAAAATACAACACAAAAATAATGATAACATTAATCATTGTCAGTTACTGAAGGTATCCAATACTTATGTCATCATTATAGGATAAGCAGCTATTAATTAAGGATTTAACATTTCAGACCTTCGGCTTTATATGCTTTAATAATGTTTCTTTAAGTATATTCTTTTAGGAGATTCATTTGATTTTGTTATGATCAGGTATCAAAGTTATTACGAGAAGACAAAAAGAAAACAAAATAGTGAAGATTTATAATGATTACTTCCTTATGTTCACTGGTTTATTCAATTTTCAATAAATATTTGTGCTACTATTATGTACTAGCACCACTCTAGAAACCAGGAACAAAAGTAAACAAAAAACATTTTTTGGTTCACATTTTTTTGGAAAAACAGAGACAAATAAATGGGCAAAATTAATTCAGGCTGTCCAGAATAAAAACTATATTTCCCCAATTTTCAAACTACAAGTATTAAGTTCTGGATAATAGGAAAGAGTCCTCAAAAGGCATGCAATTTCTGGAAAGGGTCCATAAAGGAAGGTATTATGTCTTTTTCCATTCCTGCTGCTTGACCTGGAGATGTGATGGCTGGAGTTTCACCATAAACCAGGAGATCAAATGTATGACATAAAGAGACTGCAGAGCAGTGATCTAGAGGTCAGGACCTCTTGGGAGCCTAAGGAGTAGAGCATGGGTTGCTCACTTCCAGCACTTCATTATATGAAAGAGAAATAACTCTCTTGTTTAAACATAGTCATTTGGAGTTTTTCTATCATTGGCACTTGAACCTAATTGTAACCAATACATTTGCTTACAAACTTGGCTAAAAGATTTGGTAGAGAGAGAGAGAGAGAGCTGGAACTAATGGTTAAAGCAAACTTCTGAATACTTTTCAAGGGCTTTGTTATCTATTTGTTCATTGTTTTCCACTACCATGGATAATACAACTTTAAACTGAAGAGATAATCAGTTATTCCAATACAAATTTTAAAAAATTCTCTTTCCAAATGACAGAAAAAATTTAAAATTTCAGAATCCTATCAAAAATGTTTATGGCAGTGACTAAAATATCTAGATTTGTTATTGGTGAGATATTATTCTTCAGAAGTTCTGATCACTGCAAATCTGTCAAGCTGGCACTTGTAACACAAAGATTAGTTTCAGAAAAAAAAAGTGGTACAATTAATTTGTATCTACACTATATTCAATACAGAAAAAGTATGTTATTAGGAAAATGATCAAGGAAGATAAATAATAAATCATAAGCATTGTGCAAAGTCAATACAGTGCTCTATCTGTAAGGATAACAGGTTTATAAATAACACAAATCTGTAAATTGCTACCATTTGGATAGTCAAAATAAAACATCCAGTAAAACATCCTGACTTTTGATCAACTTGATAGGAAAGAAACTGAGATAAGCATGGTATTAAACTATCAACCAAGGGCTATGCATGTCACTGTCCTGGTGAACCCTGGCCCTACTGTGAAATAAAAACAGTATTTCTATGACACTTATTGAAGCCCTAATCGTGATGTTAACAGCAATATTAGCATTATTTCTGAATTCCTCTGTCAAGTACCTGATAGTTAACAAACAGATAACAATGGTAACAATCTTACTGGTAACTATATACTTCAATTTAAAAAATAGCCTATTTATCTAAAGTATAGCATATATTAATATATGTAACATAGGAAAACAGGTTCAATAGTCAAACAAGGTTAGAAAACACTGGGTTTAGTGATGGCAAGAGTTTCTTTGTTGCAAGTTAAAACTCTTAAGAGGAGGACTCAGTAATATCACTTCCTAATTTTGACTATAAATCTCCACTGTACCCTTACATACCTACCTTTTTATAACTGAATATCCTTCAGGACCAATTTTCCATAGACCAATTTAGAAAAACGCTAATTTGAAATACATGTAATTCTAACTATCTATCTATCTATAATTCCAACTCTAAAAGTGTCTATGGCTAGAGGCTTGCTTTTCTAGGGAATATTGCTCCAGTTTAAGAGAATGTAAATAAGAAGCAGAATAAGCAACATCTAGTTAAACAGGGTTTTTTGTTGTTGTTGTTTGTTTGTAACCAATCTAACAAGAGAAGGCTAGTAATATTCAAAAATCCAAGTGGCTGGTTTGTTGTCACAGAAACTGCCATCAGCTATCAATGGGCTCATCTAGAAACCCACTACAGGGATCCAAAGAAAACTATGAAATGGCTTACAAAGGTAAGAATTTGACTTGCAGTAAGGAGAAACTTGTGGTTTCTCTTTACTGCAAGTCAAATTATTTCAAAAGACTAGGACAGACTGAGACAATGCTTGTAGTTTAATAAGAGCAAACTGCCAGGATTAAAGACCATTGCGATAAAGACCAATGGAGGTAAATATGTTACTATAAGAGACATCTGCCTAGCCTACATTACCAAATCCTGGGAGATCTCTGAAGCCATTGCTAAGCTCTAAAAGATGCTCAAATGAAATGTCTTTTAGGTCAGAGATGCTGCCTGTTGATTCCAAGTCTAGGGTGCCAGAATTTCTCTGGAACATTGCAACCGAACTGTTTATTCATGTCTTTCTGTTGAGTGGATACAAAACTGGACTGGTCTGGGGATCTCCTAAATATGCTCTGGATAGAGGTATTGAAAAAAGTGAAGAGAAATGAATTGCTCCACAGGAAGATTCATTTCTGGTGAGTATTTACACGCACATACACATACCCCAAGAATCAATTATCTTGTAAGTCTCAGTGTTATTTGTAAGCCACATAATTAAGTAGTTTAGATGAAAAAAAATTAATTTTTCTCACAACTTCTTATGGAGGTATGTGAAATCACAATTTTGAATCTTGAAGAATTTTAGAAATTATCTATCTAGTCTAAGAGTTCCTAGGATTCTGGATTTCACAGAGTAAAATTTCAAAAACAACTGAGTTCTAATATAAGGTGTTGGTCTTTTTATTTTGCCAAGTAGGACAGTTAAAATAAATAAAAAACTCTATAGAAACAAAAAAGTCTATTATCATCAATATTTCTTGGAAATATTCCAAGAATTTACAAAAACTAAAATTAACTTTGTAAAAAATTATTAAACTATTAACACATGGATATGACTGATATCTTATTTTGTAAAGAAACCCAGAGAGGTAAATAGTTTGTTTGTGATAACAGCTAGCTTGGGCAGAACTGAACTTTTTCCACCCTCTGTACTTTTCTTACTCTTGTTGATAAATGTCTCTTGTTGATAAATGTTAGTGTTTCAAAGACATCCTCGCCAATTGAAGAAAAATGTTTGAAAGTGGGGTACAAAACAGTTAACCATAAGTCAGAAACTGTGGATAAATGTTGGGTGCAGTGGACCAGGAAATTCACTCATGGGAAGAAAAAGAAAAAGCAATTGAATATAAAGAATTTTCAAATACTTGCCATTATACAACTGCCCAAACTGAGGTGCTGAAGCTCTGAACAGAAGTTCAAAATGCTGAGCAGTGCTGTTTGCTGCCATCGGGGACCACATCAGAGGCAAATATGGAAAGTGAATGAAAGTGAAACAAAGAGAAGAGGTCAATTAGACATTAAAAGCTGTCACCGCTTTTCCTGAAATACAGCTCAAAATCTAAGTTACAGATTCCACAAATGCCATTTAATGAGTCCCCAGGTGCGCCCACCATTGATTGGCTTGGAGTCAAGGTAATCATTACTAGTCTCCATGTAAGTCATCACGTTGTATATGGTTTTGCATGCTCCAAAGATACTGTATTCCCTGTAACCTCTCAGTTTATTTCCCAGAGGAAAGCAATTTGAAAGCCTGGTTATAAGACAAATTAAACCACCCCTCCCTCCAAAGACAGAATGAGAGACAGCGAGCGAGCGAGCATGCAGAGAGAGAGAGAGAGTGAGTGCGCACGTGCATGCACCACAGGGGCCTAGTGACACTCCTGAAAAACAGCAGCAGCTCTGACATTCACTGATCAGTTGCAGTCTGATGGAACTGCCAATAGAGTCACCCCAAATCAGGACTAAGCTGGTGACTTTAATGTCAAAGGATTCTCTTTGCTGACAAGGATACCAACAACCATTGAGCACCTGTCAGTAGCAACATGCTGACTGAAATGTACCTAACATGCACTTTCTAGTCATGTTCTTGCCATTTAAGCCCATCTAACTTGTCCAATGTAAACGGTCTCACCACTAAAGAAACCCAAAGATATGCTAGACTGCTACATAATCATACCAGTCTCAAATATTTTTAAAATCCTATTTTATAGCACACCTACAATGAAAATTTGTAAAAAGAAATAAATAAAGCAATGTAAAATATCCAAATTTCTAGCATTTCTTTTGTAAATTAAGGAGAAAACTATTCAGACTTACACAGCAAAATCACTTTTTAAACATCTGACCTAAATTATATCTAATAAAATTGAGCTCTTATACAACCTAGGTTAAAGCTTACATAATATGTTCAGCTACTGAACACACTGGGGGGTGAAGAATGTGTCAATGGTAACACAAAACGTTTAGTCAAATCTCAGATAAGATTTTCATTGAGAAAATAAAGAAAGAATTTTACATAAAAATCAGTTTATTTAAAGCAAAAATATATATTAATGGTTATAATAAGATCCAGAGGAATATTAGACTTTAGTCTAATTACTTCCCTCTTGAGCATTTCTTTAAATTTAAGCCAAAAAAAAAAAAAGTTCACATTGATTTTATACTTGTTTTACCATAACATTTATAAGACAATCCCATGTAGCTCTTAAAATATTAACATTAGAAACAGTATATTAAGATGAACTAACTTTGAGGTTCTCCATATATTTAAGCCATTCTGACTTACTATCAAATATAGAACATTTGATTTGTTTTTTATTAGAATACCAAATCCTTATAAGAAAGTTGTTTTATAAAACTTTCCCATGAGCAAGACCCAGAATACATTAGAGAGACTTTCTAAAGAGTAAGAAATTTTAAATTTAAAAAAATATATACATACACATGTGGAGGTCTACAAATAGTTCATGAACCATGTTTTGTGGTTTATTTTAAAATGATTTATTATGAAGAATCTCAAGTATATGGACAAGTATAGGATCCAATATAATACCCATGTAGTCAATACTCAAATTTATCAACTAACATTTTGCCTTCTTTACTAATATCTCTATTTTTATATCTCTCCATCCATACATATAGTTCCTCATAAGTAACTTTATAATGACTTGGTGTTTAAAAACATATTTGAAGCTGGGCACTGTGGTGCATGCCTATAATTCCAGACACTCAGGAAGCTGAGGTAGGAAGATAGCAAATTTGAGGCCAGCCTAGGAAACATAACTTTAAAATATAATTTTTAAAACTCAGTGGTAGGCCACTTATGTTGGAGATACCCCTCACCTCAAAACACACACAGGTGATATAATTTTACTACACTCGATACATCCATAGTTAGTATTTAATATTGGTATTCATGGTATATGCATATGTGTATTTCTCATCTTCCTCATTTGTTTTGTAAGGTATTTGTCCACGTTGCTACATATAGTTCTAGTTCACTGATTTTAAATGTTGTATAATATTCCATTTTAGAAATAAATTACAACATATACTCTCATTTGATGAGCAGTTGTTTACAATTTTCCCTATTACAAAAGTGTTATAATAAACATTCTTAAATGTACTTTCTTGTCCATATAGAAGAACATTTCTCTAGAGCACACCTCAGAGTAACAATTTCTACATGTTTTGGTATGCTCTTACTTTATACAATTCAGCAAAATAGCTCTATTTAATATTTGAGTCATACTAATTTAAATAAGTGGTATTTTTAGTTTATTACATCTTTGTCAACACAACTGTCTTTTCATCCCTTCTAACAATTATCCCTCTGATGAATATGGAATGGTATAATTTTAAGTAGTATGATCACTGGTGAGGATGAGAGTCTTTCTATATGTTTATTGGCCACTTATATTTCTTGCTCTGTAAATTACATAATTATATTCTTTGCTGATTTTTCCACTGGCTGTTTTTTCCTTAATTTTCAGGAATTCTTTAAGTATGATATATGCATATGTGTATGCATATATAGGATCTTTGTTAGCTATAGTTATTACAAATACCTTCTCTAAATCTGATCCTCTATAGAGGATCTTTTGAGATGTGCATATTTTAAAATTTAATGTGGTCATATTAATCTTTTTTCCCTTATGCTTGCATTCTGCTGTCTTTAAACAGTTCTTTTTTTAATACTTATTTTTTAGTTTTAGGTGGACACAAAATCTTTATTTTACATTTATGTGGTGCTGAGGATCAAACCCAGTGCCTTGTGCATTCTAGGTGAGCACTCTGTACCACTGAGCCACAACCCCAGCCCCTTTAAACAGTTCTTTACTCAAAACAAAATATTCTTTTTAATAAAATAACAGCTTTAAAGTCTTCATTTTGCCATTAAGTTCTTAATGAACAGTTTTTATATATGACAGAATATAATATTTCATCCTCACCCCTTGTCCAGTTCAATTTATTGAAGTCTACTTTATCCTTTGATTTGTGATGCTTTCTGTCATATGTTGCATTTCCATATATGTGTGTGTATATTTTTGGATCATTTTGTTTCACTGGTCTATTTGCCTTTCCCTGCACCAACTCTTAAGTCTCATTATTGTTTGTAATAAGCCTTAAAATCTAGTAGGGTAAACATCCTTCATTCCTCAACACTCTCAGCTGTTTTTGACCTTTTTGTTCTTTCACATCAATTTAAGAATCACCTTCTAAATTTTGGTTTTACCTTTTTCAAAATAATACAAAAAGATTACCCTTTCTCCCCCCACCCCATAATCATTAATTAATTTACTGGAATCTTATCATTTTTTATAATTATTTATTACATTTGATACCTCCTCACAGAATTTTTTTAAACAGTTCTTTTAGTTAATGGGTGGTAAAATCTTAACAATTATTTACTGAGTACATATTGATAAGTCATGCATTGCTGTAAATTCTTTAACTAAAATTCACAACAACTCTATTCATTCATTCACTTAACAAATAGTCATGAATGCCTACTATGTATCAGACACTTGGGATATAGCAGTGAACAGAACAGATAATAACTTATGAACTATAATCATTATTACCATTTATAGGTGAGAAATTTGAGTCACAAAGCTAAACAACTTACATGTTATTTATCCTCAATCTTGACTGTAAGTTTAGCCAAGCTTAAAACTTAAAGATAACTGTTATCTTCTTCTACTACTTTGAAAATATTACTCCATTAATTATTAGCCACTGTTATTTAATAAGAAGTCTACTCCCAATCTAATTGTCTTCTTTTGTGCACAGCGGACAGTGGTTTCTCCCCACCCCCACCATCGCCAATAGCTCTTGTCTCTTTATTTTTAAAGATCACAATTTTGTTAAATTGTGTCTAGGAAGATTTATTTTCAGCTGTGAGGATGGTCTGGCTGAGACATTTGTTACCCCATTGATTGCAAGGGTTGATTCAGCTTATCTGGCTAGTTAGAGGGGTGTCCCCTTCCTCCCTCACCACTCCATGTGCATTCTTCCTGAACCTGTGTACTCAAAGAGGATGACCTTCCTCAATAGAGAAGGACCATTCTTTGATCAAGGGTATATGAATAGCTGAGTTCCCTGCTAGAAGCTCCAAATAAGCACTCAAGATTAATTTTCATTAGTTTTACTTGATATTCTGAGTTCATTTGAAGACTCATATTGTTCTTCACGAGAAGTGCAGATTCTTACCAATTCTTTTTGAACATTACTTTTCTACCATTCCCTCCAGTTTCTTCTGAACTTTGATATTCAATGGACATTACAATTTCCCAAGTTACAGTGGCTTAAAAAAAAGTCCATATGATATTCCAGGCTCCCTCCTTTCAGAGTAGAGCTTAATTTCTTTCCCTGTAATAGGTGTGATAGATTTAGTGACTTACTTTTAACCAACAGTATATAGCAGATGTGATGGCGTGCCACTTTGGATATTAGGTTATTGTGATTAATTTTATTTATTAACCTGACTGGGCTTGCAAACATTTGGACAAATATTATTCTGGGTGTTTATATGAGGCTGTGTTTGGGGTGAGCTTAACAGTTAAATTAACAGACTGAGTAAAACAGATTGCCTTCCCTTTTGTTTAACTAAATAAGGGAGAATTCTTCCCACCTGATGGCTCTCAAAATGGGACACTGGCTTTGTCCTGACTTTGATATAAACAGAATATCAGCTCTTCCTGAGACTCCTGCTGGCTTTCATAGTGGACCTATACTATTAGCTTTCCTGGGTCTCCAGCTTGCCAGCTCAGCCTGGAGACCTTGAGGCATGCCACCCCCATAATCACATGAGCCAGTTGCTTACAGTAATAAGTCTTCTATTAGTTTTGTTCTCTAGAGAACCCTAACTAATTCAGTTGTAAAAAGGCTGTGGGTCCTGTATTAGCTTCCCTTTTTCCTCCATTAATCATGTGCCATAT